CCATATGATGTGTGGACGAGGATAAACACTTAGCACACTGCACACTAGGAAGCTGCTTGTGTTCTCCCTCTCATAGTTCATCACAGGGGTGATGAAAGCTATGCAGGAAAGAAGGGCATGTGAATACCAGTCACTACTAATTTTTTCATAGTCCATCAATGCAGAATAGTTAATGCCCATGAATGGAAAAATTAAGCTTTATGAACAAACTTGATAGCTACTGAAAAGAAAACCAAAACAAAAATTCCATAAAACCTTAAGATATAGTGTCATTGTTCGGAAAGAATTATAAAAAGCTTGCATGGATATGAATCAAATAGCAATCTCTATTTTCTGAAAACTTAGATAACAATTCTCCAGACTTTACCTGAGCAAGAAGAAAAGTGTGGTTAAAGACTATAAACCAGAGTTTGTGTGAGACTCTGAACCTGTAGGACTCAAGACTCTTTGAGATTCTGTTTACACATGATTCTTGGACTCTGATTCCAGGTATCAAGCAACTACATGAGGCAAACAGACAAGGAATAAGGACCGGATGAAATAATCCACAAGAAAATATATCCCAAACATAAATAGGCAGGCATACTTTAAAGGTATTGCAAGTTCAAGGCCAGTGAATATCACAAGAAGCAAGTCATATAATTTTTTTCATATCCCGGAGCATATAAAAGCTATTTTATATAATACCTCATTAAGTTACAACAGCAAATATCAAAAATGATGTGCATATCTTAATTTAGAAATACCGATAAAGATGGCTAATGATTGAGCCAACAAGCAGCTGTAATCTTTCTAATTGTGCAGGGTCTCACCTTGACACTGACGGCTGCTGACTTGTCAGGGTGATAGTTGCTAAGGGTTAGGGTAACTGTAGTTTGTTGTTTTTTTTTAAGTTAAGTTTATGGGTGTATTTTATGTAAACATAATGATCACATTCATCACAGGGAATTTGTACCTGTACATGATGTATTTTGATTTTTCCCCATTCCCCTCCCCTCAGCAACAGTTTTGTTTCCATTTTGCCTTTTTTTTTTCTTTTCCTTTTCTTTCCTCCTCCTTCCTCCTTAGTACCCCTTCCCATTTGAACATTTTCTTCCTATTTCATAATATCTGTTATATATTTTGGTCCTTATTTACACTTTATTTCACACACCAGAGAAACATTGTGATCCACATTATGTGTCTGATTTATTGCACTTCAGAGGAGTGTGGCCTCAAGGAGCATCCAGTTACCCAGAAGTGTCTCTCATTTATCCTTCTTTATGGCTGGGTAGTACTCCATTGTATTAAAAAAACACATCTTTTTATCTATTCATTGATTGATGGACATTTGGGCTGTTTTCAAGATTTACCTATTTTAAACTGTACTGCTACAAAGATGAATGTGCATATGTCACTGTACTGCATACTAGATGAAAAACAAAGCTTTCACTCTAAAATCAGGAACAAGATAAGGATATGACTATTACCACTCCTATTCAATATAGTTCTGGAAATATTGCCAGAGTAATTAGACAAGAGAAAGAAAAGGAATAAAGATAGAAAGGGGAAAAGTTAAATTATCATTATTTACAGATGATATGATTCTCTACATAGTAGACCCCCAAAACTCTAAAATATTTCTAGATTTAATAACCAAATTCAGTTACGTAGCTATATACAAAGTCATTTGAACTCAAAAATCAATACCATTCCTATATATAAATAATGAATTCATTGAGAGAAATAAAGGAAACTACCCCTGTAACAATAGCATAAAAAAGTGAAATACTTAGGAATCAATCTAAGTATTTAGTAAACAATCTTTACATTGAAAACTATAGTACTTTGTAAAAGGATACTGAAGAGGATATCAGAAAATGGAAAGATATCCCTTGATTTTAAGTAGGAAGAACACAGTGAAAATGGCCATATTTCCAAAATTGTTATACAGATTTAATGCAATACTGATCAAAATACTAATAACATACCTCACAGAACTAGAGAAAACATTCCTAAAATTCATTTGGAACCAAAAGAAACCTAGAATAGCAAAAACAGTTCTGAGCAACAAAGGCCAGGCAAGGAACATCACAATCCCTGACTTGAAATTATACTACAAAACTACTATGAAAAAAACAGCATGGTACTGCCCAAAAAAATAAAACAGACCCAAGGATCAATGGAACAGATTAAAAGATGCAGAAATGACTCCAAACACACTCAGCCACTGTATCTTCAACAAAGGGACCAAATAACTTAACTGGAGGAATTTCTTAAGACAAAATGAAGTCTGCTGCATCAGTTGACTCTCTCATGAAAAATTTTTCTGTAGCACGTGATACAGTTTGATAGCATTTCATCCATAGTAGAACTTCAAAGTCTTTTCAAACCCTACTGCTACCTTTTTGGCTTTCTGTAATGATCTAAAATAAATCCTTTGTTGCCAGGTCAATACATTTCATAGCATCTTCACCAGAAGTAGATTCTATTTGAAGAAATTACTTTCTTTTCTCATACATGGGAAATCGTTTATTAAAGTTTTATTATGAGTTGCATCAATTCAGTCACATCTTCAGGTTCCACTTTTGGTTCCCTTGCTATTTCTGCTAATCTGCAGTTACTTCTTCCACTGAAGTCTTGAGCCCTCAGAATCATCTATAAGGGTTAGAACTAACTTCTTCCACATGCCTACTAATGTTGATATTTTGGGCTCTATTCAGCAGTACTGGAGATTGAACCCAGGGCCCCACAGTGAGCTTTGGAGACAGAATTGTGCTCAGTTGCCCAGGCTGGCCTCAAACTTATCATTTTCCTGCCTCAACCTCCCAAGTACCTGGAACTAAAGGCATGCCTCCCCTCTACCCGGCCATAAATGTTCTTAATGGCATCTAGAATGGAGGCTCTTTTACAGAAGTTTCCAATGTATTTTTCCCGAATCCACTAGAGGAATTGCCATCTGTGGCAGCTATAGTCTTATAAAATGAATCTCTTCAATAATAAGACTTGCAAGTTGAAATTATTTCTTGATTCATGGGCTGCCAATGGGTGCTGTGTTATCAGGCATACAAACAATGCTAATCTCACTGGGAAGCTCCCTCAGATCTTTGGTGACTAGGTGGATTGCTGGTGAACAGTAATGTTTTGAGAGGAATCTTTGTTTTCCCCCTCTGAGCAGTATTAGTACTGGGCTTTAAATATTCAGTACACCATATAAAGAGATATGTCATCCTAGTTTGGTTTTTCCATTTATAGAGTACAGGAAGAATGGATGTAGTATAAATCTTGAGTCCCAGAATTTTTGGAACAGTATGTGGGCATTGTCTTCAACTTCAAATGCTCAGCTACATTAGTACCTAACAAGAGATGCAGTCTATCCTTTAAAGCTTCGAATCTAGGCACTGACTTCTCCCTTGCTATGAAAATCTTATATGGCATTTTCCAATAGAAGACTGTTTCGCTTATATTGAAAATGTCTTAGAGGTTGCCACCTTCATCATTTATTTTAGCTAGATCTTCAAGATAGCCTGCTGTAGTGTCTACATCACACTTACTGCTTCCCTTTGCACTTTTATGAAGACACTCTTCCCCTAAACCTCACGAATAATCCGTGCAACCTTCAAAATCTGAGAATGCAGCTTCCATATCTCTCTCAGCCTTCATAAAACTGGAGTTAGGCTTTACTCCAGGTTTGCTGTGACTTATGAGAATGTTGTAGCTGGTTTAAGTTGCTATCTAAGACCACTAAAACTTTCGCCATACCAACATTAAGGCAGCTTTGCTTTCTTCACATTCACAAGCTCACTGCAGTAGCACTTTTAATTTCCCTTGATAATTTTTTCTTTATATTCACAGGTTGGCTGTTTGGCAAAAAGGTCTAGCTTTTGGCCTGCTTTTCTTCTAACACATCATCTTCACTATTTGTAGCTAAAGACTTTCGGGGGCCATGCCACTCTTCCTTTCACTTGTAGGTCATTGAAGGAATATCAGTTGGCATAATTTTAAGGTCACAGTGTCACAGGGAACAGGGAGGTTTAAGGAGGGAAGGGAGAAATGGGACCAGCCAGTGGGTGGAGCAATCAAAACACACATTTACTGACTAAATTCACTACTTTACATGAACAGGCTTTGTAACACCGCAAAACAACTACAAACTTCAAAAATCACTGATAATAGACATCACAACAGATATAATGAAAAACTCTGAAACATTGTGAAAATTACCCAGTGCCAGAGACACGAAGTGAGCACTTGCTGTTGGAAAAATGGTAGCTACAGACTTCATCAACACAAAGTTGCCACAAACCTGCAATTTGTAAAAAGCATATCTGCAAAATACTATAAAATAAAGCACAATATCTTATACTATGTCTATAATATATATAGGATTTGTGATCAGCAGCTTGATTGTTAATGGACCACATTATTAAGAATCTGATATTTTGAATATTAGAAATAAGCCATGAATCTTTGGTTTAACTACTTTTTTCCATTTAATTGAATGGCTGTTTGATTCAATGCTACCATGAAATTTGGCAGTAGTTAATATACTAACTATATAGCATAACTGTAGTTATATATAGTTACTACAAAGATGAAGAAAGTACATAATAGAAACTTCATTTTTATTACAGAAAGAACCAATTCAAATAAAAACTCAGTATTTTTAGGCATTATATTGGCAGAAATTTTTAAGATCAATAACATTCAGTGCTGACTGGACTAAGAAAAATGGATACTCATGTGCTGCTGGTGTTAACATATAATCCTACTTCTAGTAATTTTATTTCATGTAATTTCCTAGTACTAAATATAACTATGAAGATGTTCACCACAATGCTTTTTTGTAATGAAAAACACTGGAAATGCATGAGTAACAAGGGACTATGGATATATTTATTATAGCCAGGCTATGAGATACTGTGTGTTAAAAAATGAGGCAGATTTGTAGGCACTGACTTATTTCAGAATAACATCAAACACTGTCATGAAGCTTTATGAAATCTTTCATGCACACTCACCTCCAACCTTTAGCACCACTCTGTGATCTGTCTAATTGCTGTCCCCACATAGCAGATATAAATTCCTTCATCCAGAAGACTTAATCTTCTCAATTTTAGAGAGGCATTCCCATTTTCAATCTTGCTATGGAAGAGAGATGTCCTGTTTACAAATTTGGGATCTTGTTTTTCCAAATAGTTACTACCTTTGTAGTAAGTGTGAACATAGTAGTTATCTTGGTTCTTCCAGTGAATTACAACATCAGGTTCATTCTCAAATGAGCAAGGGAGAATTATATCTTAATTATATCTTCCAATAACAATTTGATCATTCGTACTGATATGATTGAATAAAGCTGAAAAGAATGTATCTAAAATCAAGAGCATAGATGTTATGAAAAGAATTAGTGATGGGTACTTATTGAGGATTATATCACAATTACCTACACTCCTAGATAAGCAGTCTGATCATTAACAGATCTGGATTTCTAATTATTAGAATGAAGCCATAAAGCTCTGTGTTTGAGTTTCTTCCATTTTAATGGAATGTCTTTTGGATTCAGTGTAACTGAGATAATTGGTGAAGGTCCAAAGCACAGATACACTAGCTTGCTACAACTTGATCAATAATCTTCTCTCTCCTCGCATGCTGCAGTACTGGAAAATATCTATATAAAGGTCTCCTATTGGTTTTGAGTCAAAGACACATTCATTTTTGGTTATCCAAAACTAGTTTATCCAGTTAGCTATAGCCAGACGCCCCCCCAAAATGACAGACTTAGCTTAATTGGATCAGAAAATGTTTGGCTAGGAAATAGATTATGGAATCTAGGATTTTTTCCCACATATGTTAGAAATATCTAGATGCTAGTCTCAAGCCGGGGAGTATATGGCAGGAAAGAAAGAAATGAATTTAGGACCACTCACTAGATATCTTATGAGTCATCAAAGCAAGAGTTTAAAAATATTCTGGCTAGAAAGGTGGAATTCCAGTCCTCTTGATTTAAATGCATTTGTTGTTGTTTTACTGTTAATTTTAGCAGTTAATTTCAAAAAGCCAAAAACTTCAATGTGATTAGGGTTTTTGCAAAGAAAATATACCTAGTCACTTCATATCACTGAAAACATCTAGCTTCTTAGACCAATTCAGAAAATACTTTAAGTAGATAGTTTGTCTTTGGACTCTAAGAAATTAAGATGGGAAGGGGCCTTATTTTATAGAAAAGCAGTAAACTCCTTTGAACCTTGGCCAAGGGCACCCAGGATGAAGAATAGGGTACTCGTGTGGTGCTGCCATGGGCTTTTACCTCTGCCTGCCCCTCTGGGGCTTTTTAAACCTGGCCACGTCCCTCCTCTCTTCCTCAGAGATGCTTGATTTCTCTGCAGAGATCTAAGAAGATGTGTATTAAAATGAGAGGAATACATGGAGAGATGAGAAAGCAGTGTCTACCATACCCTGTATTTCTCTAGATAATTAAAAATGCCTATCATAGGGCCTAACAAAGATGATAATATCTTCTATTAGGTGCTAGGTACAAAGCTTCCACTTGAGAAATCAAACTTGCCTTTCTTGTGATTTTATTTCATATAGCATCGAATAGAGTAGAAAGACCTTTCATCAGAGTGAAGTGAAGAAAATACAATTTCTAATCTTTATGCAGACTTCCAGCCTGTTGCCTACTTCTCATGAACTGAGCATTTAGGAAAGTTCACAATGCTACTGCTGCAGAGAAATACAGCTAAGTATTCCTTACCTGAAGTGCTTGGGACTAGAAAGTGTTCTGTATTTAATATCTACTCAGGGATGAAGTCCAGTGTAAGCATAAAATCATCTATGTTTCATATGCATCTTCTACCCATTGTCTGAAAGTAACTTTATGCAGTATTTTTTAATTCACTTGCATTTTGACTGATCTGTCACATGAGGTAAAGGTGTCGGGTTTTCCACCGGTGCCACCATGGTAGCCCTCAAACATGTCTGGACTTTGGAGCATTTTGACTTGTGGATGTGCTACCTGTAGCCACTTTGTATTTTATGCTCTTGTTCCTATCTAATGATAAAAATAACTAACTTTTGTATTATAAAAGAAGTTACCTTGAACTCTACAGAGAGACTGTGTAAGAATGAGGAGGAAAGACAGCACTGCTTGTGCCTTCATGTCTTAGGAAGGCCATAGTATCCTGTGAAAGCAAAGCGAAGAATGCATGTTATGTATTTTAAATGCAAAAGGAGCTGAAAAGAATTAGTGTCTAAATCCAAGAGATCAAACCATTATACATTCGCACAAATAATTATCCTGTAGCTATTAAACATGATATTGTAAAAGTTCAATGGCATGGAAGTTCTTGTTATAGGAGAGAAATCAAATTACAGCACAATTTTAAATAGCACAGTTCATTTTGCAAAGGAACACACATTTTTTTCATGTCGGACATAAACAGGACCCATCACTAAGTGTGTAGTAGGATGTTAACTTGGAATGTTACATCCGGAGCAGTGCCAGCCAGGTGATAGATACAGACAAAGGGCTGCTGAATGAATGGATTTGGTATCTATTTACCAGTGGTTCTCTGGATCATGGTTTTTATTATTTATAAAGCATTCCATGGTGCTTTTATAGTAAAATATAACAAAAATGAATTCAAGTGCTAGCAATGTTAGCTATGGCATTATTTACAATCACACATAAAACATAAAAGACAACCAAACATTAAAACATTTATAAATACACAATACTGATGCAAACCCTAAGGTCACGGTTTACAAAAACTTATCATAAATGAGAGAGTAAGATGGAGGGAAGAGAAAGAGATTGAATATTGCAAAACAAAAAAATATATAATGTAGTTTTATACAAAATAAAACTTTTTCTTGGATAGTGGGATTATAGTTAATTTTTACTCTTTGAGAAATACCTTTTTTTTTTTTGAGACAGGGTCTCACTATGTAGTTGAGACTGACCTAGAACTCACTATGTAGCACAGGCTGGTCTCAAACTCACAGCAATCCTCCTGCCTCAGCCTCCCGAGTGCTGGGATTACAGGTGTGCACCACTGGCACCCAGCGAGAAATATCTTTTTAAAAGAATATCATATAATTTGTTTGAAAAAAAATCCCTGAAAGAATATTTTAAAGAAATCACTTGGCAGTTCTAGCATTGAAAAAAATATATTCTTAATTCAATGAGATGTGAAATTGTAGAATATTTAAAATATCCTAAAAGATTAGACTATATTAAAACCTGGTAGATTAATACTTTATAGTTTTATTTTTATGTTTCAAGTACCAGAAGAAAATAAGTGAGTGTACAACCTTAAAAGAGGGTTTTTAAATAAGACTATACATTTTCTCTTAGAGCTATACCTATATAAATATTGGAAATATTCAAAACAAATTAAATGTAAGTAGGGACAAGCTACCAGTACTTGCTTCCATCCATTTCAGAATAGCTAAAATACTTGATAAAGTGTGAATTGTTATAAAATAATATTAGTTATCAAAATAATGTTGTATCTCTTCCTATAAATGTACTTTCATGTATGGCTGAAAGGATAGTTGCCACAATGATTATTTCTGAATAAGAAGACTACAAGTAATTGGTAAACTCATTTTTTCTATGAAAATATGTAAATATTTAACAATACTTTTGATTTTTATGGGCAATAAAAAACAAATTTTATGTCAGCCTCTCTCCAAGCAAAACATACCTGATACCTACCTTGTTCAGTGTAACTTTGGAGATTTCTTGTCTGCTGTCCACTTATACATAAGGTCATATTGCCCCTCCTCATAAAGACTCTACCTTCTCTTGAAACTTCCAGCATCCCCTTCTCCGATTTCCCTTTCCACTGATAGATTTGCTTCACTAGTTTTGATTGCATATGAATGCTGGTTCATTCTCCTAACACAGCTCAACCAACCTAATAGCAGTGGGGTCTACTGTCTTCTGTCCTGCTATTACTGAGGCCAAACCCTTGACTGAGACCTACATCCCATAAAGTTTTGAACTCAAGAAATATATTTCTGCAATTCTATCCTCTCACTTTATCATCTGATTCTCTTTCTATGAGGATCAATTTTGTAACTACAAATGTTCCAATATTGAACATTTTAAGAAAATGAGGAGGAAAGCCCCTCAAATTCCCCTTTGATTCTTGATTTTCTGTCTACCTATTTCTAAGCTCTATTATTCCAAAAATAACTATTGCCATTTTGCTCTTTACAGTCTTCCCTCAATCTATTTAAGGCTCTTATTCACATGACGTATAAAATCTGCCCTTGTCACTGTCACCAAGAATCTTCATATTGCCAAAAAAACTGTCATCATTTGTTATTTCAACCTCACAGTGGCGCTCAACACACCTGACTGCTAACTTCCTCTTGTAAAATTCTGCTCTTGGTTTTCGGAACAGCACATTCCTCAAGTTTTCTTTTCTCACTGTGTGTTCTTCCTTATTCCTGGTACTGGTTCTCTTCTGCTTGCCCTATGTAGGAATATGGGAAGTTCCCAGACCTGCTACTTCTCTTTTTTCTGCTCAGTGAGTTCCTCTATATGACATCAATAAGCCAAGAATTATCAAATCCTTTGTTCTACTGCTTATTTGGCTTGTATTACTCTACATACATCATGAAGTTAATCAGAACCCTATTTTTTGCTTCACTCTCCTTTCTCTTACTCTATGCCCCACCCCAAACAAGGCAAAACAACAGAAAATTCCGTGTTCATCTTTCAGTCTTCATCACAATAACTGGGGGGAAATCTTTCCAGTTCAGGTAGAAAATTAATACTGATTCTTCCATTCCCACATGCCCTATATCTCATCTTTTAACTCATCTTTTATTTACCCACTTCTTTCCAACTGTTGCCATGCTGCTCCAAGGCCACTGTCATTTCTTACATGGGTATCTAAAAACAGACCTATAGCTGGTAACAGTTTTCTACTCTTACCACTTTATAACCCACTGTCAACACCACTGTCAAGGGCTGTAATTTTAAATAATGTCATTCTATTACCCTAATTAAATCCCTGCAGAGTCTTCCTACCACACTCAGCAAGATATAAATTTTTAGCCCTAGCCTACCAAGCTTTACACACTCTGATTCCTGATCCTGCCTGCTTCCTTCAACTTCTCTTGCGGAATCTGGCAACATGCATTCCCAAAGATTCATGGATACATGTTCTCCAACTCAAGAGTCAGTGTGAGCTGAAAATTGGGTCCTTAAAACCATGACACTGGAATAAAATGACAAATTACAGATAAAGAACTATGAATAAAATATATATACTCAACCTCTTCTACACAAAGGCTTGATTTAGCACTGTTGAAATAATTTCAGCATTCAGCTAAGTGAGGCAGTTAATGAGTATTTGGCCCTATTTTTATACCTCAGTTTTATTTTGAGACATTTACATTTTCCCCAAAGCAGCAGAAAGCTTCCACCTTGGATTAAACTGAAGTTATCCAAGTTGCAATCAGCATGCTTACAAAAGGGTTCAAATGTTAGAAGCATCTTGTTCTGGTACATTTTGGCTAGATTCCAGATGTGAGGGAGAAAGGCAAGACAGCCAGCCTCTGTAATGAGCACAAGAAGAAATACAGATGCTAAAACCAATCAGACAGAAAAGAAATTTGAGGCCATTTCTACAAGCATAAAATAAGAACCAAACAGTTATTCCTACACCCAGTTTAATAGCTACAGACCAAAATGACAGGGCCTGTCAGTACCAATTGTAAGAATGAAGACATACGTCATTGTAGTTGAGTCAGATTTTCAAGTACACACTTTAGAAACACTCAAGGCTAGTTCTGGCCTCATAACTTCTAGTCTCCATCTGGCCAAGCCAGAATAAGTCAATGCTCTTTTTTGAAAAGAACGTTTCACAATACTCACCATCGTGAACATTCTGAATTCCTTTGAGGAAAAGCAGATCCCATGGTGCTGCATTCTTCTTTGCATTGTTTTTAAATTCATTGCCTCTTCACAGTGTTCATGACACTGAGCCAGTTTATGAAATAAATAGGAACAGAAGGAAAACTCTGTAGCATCCTGGGGATTTTTCCTTACGATCAACTTAGATTTTAATAGGATTGACTTTGTTTAGGCAGCAAAAGAACAACACAACAATATTAGGATCACTTTCTTCTCTCTATTCAAAATATCCCTTTGATGTTTTACAGTAAAATTCTATCACTGAGGGATTCAGATATTGGATAGAAACATTTAATTCTAGGGGGTACTACCTTTGTCTTAGGCTCTGTTTGATTTAGTATCTTGTTTTTCTTTTGGAACCCAGGCTAAGAATATGTGTGGATGGGGTGGGTTTTTTTTGGGGGGGGGGTTTGTTTGAGACAGGGTCTCATTATGTAGTTGAGACTAACCTGGAACTCACTATGTAGCCCAGGCTGGTCTCAAACTCACAGAGATCCTCCTGCCTCAGCCTCCCAAGTCCTGGGATTACAAGCCTGTACCACCACACCCGGTTTAAACAACAGGCACCAGCACCAACATTCTTTTCTTCTCCCATCCAAGTACTAACCAGGTCCAACCCTGCATAGCTTCCAAAATCAGATGAGATCAGGTATATACAAGGTGGTGTGGCCGGAGACGTGGATGGGTTTTTGAGGCAGTCCAGAGATACAATTGCAGGTCAGTAACAGTGAAAAAAAAAAAAAAAATGGAGGAGCCAAACAAGGTAAAATAGAAGATACAAGACTGTGGCTACTTTGCTGGCCACAAACAGAACATAAAACAGCCACTTGCTCAGTCATAAGCTCTAAGAACCACAGCAACTCACAACAATTCATCAGAGACCAAAAGGAATGTACATGTAACTTTCCCCATGGGTCAGTTTTCCCGTGGTCGAACTAACTCCTACTTTCTTCCTTGCTGTGCACCTGGCTCTTTGGGACAGCCATTTTTAAAGCTAGATGCCATACTCCGCTGTATGGCATTTTAAATGTATGGCACTTTTGAGTCTGTAAATAAAGAGCAGGGAACCACAGTCTCACAGGGAGGTTCCTTTCGAAGTTACAGTGGAGAACATGTTGAAATTGGCTTCCCAAGAAGAGCCAGCATCACTGATAACATTCAAATCCATCAATGACACTGGGGCCTGGGGCCTAGTCTCTCTCTCCCTTCTCCCTCTCCCTCTCTCTCCAACTAAGGATCCAGGAGACAACTAAGGCCCAAGAAAATCTAGGGTGGTTCCTAAAATGGGTCCAATAAAAGTACTGTTTTAAAAATTTAATTCATTTAATTTTCAATATTCTTGCTAATTAGCAGAGTTAATCACCTGGGTGCCCTGCAATTACTTCAGTCATTTCAGTCTTCATACACTCACTGCTAAGCTACAACTACCTGCACACATATCTACAACCTTCCTCAGAGAAATGTGCTTGAATGATAGAAGCTCTAAGAGTTACACCACATCACTACTGCCTGCCACAGTGGTGGCTTCCAGGCAAGAAATAGTCCGTGGTCTACAGCCCTCCTGATTTCAAGCCACATCCTTAGATTCTTTCTCTGCCTTATCCTGCTGCCTATACTTCCTTACAAGTATCTTACAGTTAATGAGAGATCACTTTCCTCCCTTACCCACAGATTCCTGTATCAGCTAGGGCCCAAGTCAGAACTCTTGTACAGGAAAACCCAGGGCACAACTTAGGAATCCAAAGAACATTTTCCATTTCAGACTCCCAATCATTAAATGCTGCTTTTGGAAAAAAAAAAGATTATCTCTCCTTAGTAGTGCTGTATATAAAAAGGAATATATTCAGATGGAATGGGTCTAGTTTTGTTGTTTTTAGCAAGAATGTTGGACAACCAAAGGAAGAAAAAATAAAAATCACCAAAAAAAGAAATTGCCAGGGTTAACACACAAAACAGCAGGCCTTTTGTCAAGCACATAAAAGTAGTGAGCAATTGAACAAGACTCCATTAAGAAAAGTAAGTGTTGAGCATGTGCATATATAAGGCCATTTTTCACTCTAGAAAATAGGTAACTATCTGCTACAAAACATGTTAATAATGCCCATGGCATAGCACATGTCTATAGAAACCCAATGTGCTGTTTCTATAAACGCCTACTCTCCTCAGTTCAGTGGTTATTATCATTAAATAATTTAACAAAATGTATGTTATTAATTAAATGGAAGGACAAGAGCAGACTTGGTGTTTCTGCAACAATCAAGTTAAATAAGATGCATGCTTTGGAATGGCTAAGTCAGCCACAAGAAATGAAGGGAAAAAATTTGCTTTTAGATTTGTTATTAGAGAGCTAATGGGAGAGATTGAAACAAAGAGTCCAGAACAAGTTGGACTCTTTTGTAATAATTTTAATGCAAACCTTTCTGGGTACTTTCAAAGAACAAAAACTAGAAATATGAGATAGAACATTATGGGTTTAGATAATACAGAAAAGATTAAACAGAGAAAACAAGGAATAGACCATACTCAGAGCTTCACTTCTTCCCAGAAACTTAGAAAATGGATATGTTTTAAGTTTATAAAATTCAATGTATAATTTAGATACTTCAATTTTTTAAAAAATAGACCAAGGGCCAGGGATTTGGCTGACACCACACCTGTCTCACAAGTGCAAGATCCTGAGTTTGATCCCCAGTACTCGTAGAAAAAAAAAAAAAAAGCTAGACTGAAGCAGTGAAAGGTTTGAAATAATGCAGTAAACTCTCAACATGGATAACATGAGACAGATTTCTGTAACACAGAGAAGGATCAACAATACCAAAGAGTCTGGGCTAGCTTGAGATAGAAAATTTCTTTCCTATGTTGACTTAGGTTTATCATCTACATCTGACATCATAATTCCCTTCCTGTGCTGGTTAGGATTGTTACATTAAAACATGTCTATTGAATGGTAAGTGATACATCCAGTATCTCTCATTCTCCACAATGAGATTAATCATTTAATTCAATCTATCTCTGTGTCTTTTCAAATCCAGAAATAAAGAACCCCTTATATCTACATATCAAGGTTTTGGAGAAGTTGACCCATGACTGAACATCAGAATTGAGGGTTTCAAGCGCAGTAAAAAAAAATTTTTTTACAAAACTCAACTCCAGTGGCATACTCCACTTGGAGCTTTTTTGAAGTAATGCTTTCTAATGGACTACCTTTTGGAAGGTACTTGTGCCTATGTACACATGAATTAGTGGCTTTCTGTCCTTAGAATGTAAAGCTGTTGATAGCCTAAATACCTGGTACATAAGAAAAGAAAAATTGCTGGCCCAGCTCAGTGAAACCTTTCTAAAGTAGAGAGGTTGTGTTTGCTTTGTTCCAGTGAGGTTTCTGTATTGCTCAGAGTCAGCTCTGCCAAATAACTTTTGTTTATAAAGTTTCATTGCTCCAGGTCTGTGCCCTCCTCACAAACCATTCTTAAGTTAGAGTCAGAAAATATTAAAGTTCTGAGAAGCAAGAGAAAATGAAATACTTCAAATATATCTTGACCTCTTAGAAAACAGGACTGAGCTTTTCTTTGAATGATACTCCACTGTCATCCAACAAGCTTAACATTTCTTCTACTATTAAAAACATAAAACCTGAACATCACCCATGGGTGATGATCAACTGTGCAGAAATAAGCCAAACAATTTTAATCCCCAAAAGCTTAGCCTAGTACCAAATGATAGGTAGATCATATAAACAAATAAATCATAATGCTACCACATAAGAAGCAATCAGGGTTCCCACCAAGTGTTACAGAAAGGCAGAGAAAAAAACACTGAAGCCTGCTGAGCTATAGTAAATCTTCTTGAAACATCAGTTTTGGAGGAGAAGGAAAAACTGATCCATAAGGAGGAATAGAGGAAAGTGGAGGAAGGTAGATATTCCAGAACAAAGATACAACAGCAAGAGAGCATAAATCCTATGTGATGATTTAACCAAGAAGGCCACATGGAACAGAAAATGCTGGAAGGATATATAAGGTACAGATCACTCTCACTAATGACTCATCATAGAATGCTAATGATGAAGCAACATTATGTTTTAGAAAGATCATATCTGTGAGATTATAGTGGTTGAATCCAAGAAGCCAGCCTGTTAGGATCAGCTAAGAATGTAGCATAGAAGTATTTAATATCAAACTTAATCATGTGAAATGGGTAAAACATGAAAGAACAATGTGGCAAACACCAGACTGTTTTCCTACTTTCTTTTTGACAAAACTGAGTCTCTGCCAAGCCCTGTGCAGTACATGACCACCTCCTACTAAATGGAGAATTAAAGAAACATTCAGAAAATGTAAATGAAATGACCATGACTGGTTCAGGGCTGGAGTAGGGGAAATCCCTGTATTTGAATAAGACAATTTAAAGAAGTGACCATTGTGAAGTTGCAGTTGTGTTGGGGTCAGAGGTGGAAGCCATTTGGAACATCTCAACGTTTTGGAAGTTAAAAGTACATTGAGTAAACATGTTTACACAGCTCTTAAGGTTGGACCCAAATTACAATGTTTGTATATCCTACTTTTAATTCTGTTCCAAGGGAGAGAGGAAAGTTTGGTCAGACTATTGCACTGCTTTGTCTCCAAAATAAACTACTGAAATCACTCTGGAAAAAAAAAAAAAAACTACTAGGACACTGTTTTGGATAATGAGATACAATGAAGTCTATGGAGAGGATTCTGAAAATTTGCTTCCATATAAATAAGATAGATGCAAGAGCAGGACTTGGAAACCCCTTTTCTCTACTTTCTGAATGATTTGATGCTGAGAGCTCCAACAGCCACACGATAGATGTGAGAAAACAGCGAGGATTAAAAAGTCAACCTGACAAGAACAATGGAGCAGAAAAATGGAAAGAACCTGAGTTTATAATGACATTGCTGAGTCCCTTTTACCTGTTCTAGATTCCCTCCCCCTAAACTGTCAATAAAGTGATACATTTAAACAGCTTTGAATGGGGACTTCATATGTCCCTCAAACAACCCAAAGTGAAACAGAATGAAAATAATTGGCAGGGAAAAAAATACTTG